ACACTACATACCCCAAAAAGTTGACTTGCCGTTTGAATAGTGAACATTTCTTCGGACTCAGCTTGAGATTGGCACTCTGAATCTTCATGAGCACTCGTCCCAGGTTTTCAAGGTGTTCCTCAAACGTACGGCCCACGATGATGATGTCATCCAAGTAGACCAGACAGGCATCGCCAATTAGCCCGGTAAGTACAAGTTCCATCAGCCTTTCAAACGTTGCTGGAGCATTGCACAACCCAAACGGCATTACTTCGAATTGCCACAGACCCTTTTCCGTCGGGAACGCAGTTTTCTCCTTGTCCTTAGGGTCAATTTCAACTTGGCAGTAGCCACTTTTTAAATCCAGCGTGCTAAACCATTTTACTCCTGTAAGCATGTCCAGCGTGTCATCAATTCTTGGCAAGGGATAGCTGTCCTTCTTTGTAACGTCGTTCAGACGGCGGTAATCAACACAGAACCGCATGCTGCCATCCTTCTTCTTTACCAGAACCACGGGTGAACATCATGGACTAGATGAAGATTCAATAACACCATCCTTCACCATTCCCTCAATCATGGTTTCCACTTCCTTTTCACGTGCTACCGGCAATCTTCTTGGCCGCTGACGGATAGGCAATTCCTCTCCTGTGTTTATTTTGTGTTGAACTAAGCCAAGACTGGCTTCTATGTTGACTTCCTATGTCAGTATCGTTTGACGAGAATACATCGGCGTACTTGAGTAACAACTTCTTCGCCTTGACCAATTCGTTCGGGGAGAGAACACTGCGACAGTCTTCCAAAAGTGTGGTCACTCTCATTTCTGAATCCTTGCTGGGGGTCCCACTCGATATATATTGGCACCGACGTAACCAATCCACTTCCTCACAAGTGCCAACCAGTGTGCCCTTTTCTATAATCTGTTCCCGGTCGCAAAGGTTCAGCACACGTATTCTTGAGATGTCAGTGGTTCTGACCAAGGTTCGAGCTACTTTCCATGGAAGGTCATTGTTTACCCTTTCCACAAGTACACAACGGTGAGCTTGCCCAGCGTTTCGGGGAAGACTAACCGGAACAATCGTTTCCGATCTCGGCGGAAGAACAATCTTCTTAATGCTGTACACGTTCCCTGGTAACGCACCTTCCATAAAAAGTTCCTCCTGTCCACATTTCAAAACACCTTGCTTAACGTCGATCTCACAACAATTATTCCTCATAATCAACTCCATCTCCTTCTCTCCACGGACGGGTATACGCTGACCGGTGGCTGTTACCAAATTAATGCGTTCTCGGTTGTATGCGGAGTCCCAAAGGAACTGACTTATAAGTTGGGAACTAACAACCGTACGAGAGGCTCCAGTGTCTATGGTCAGTTTACACGGCATTCCGTTGACCTCGCCCTTGATGATTAGACTGTTCCCATCATGGGTTTGTGAGATCGAGATCCTTGGGACTCTTTTAACATCAGCCAGCACCCGCCCAGCAGTTCTGGCTTTTACTCGTTTCCCTGCTGCTGCTGGGCGGTGCTGTTGGCCGCACTACCCTCCTGGGATCATTCACCTTCCCATTCTAGGGTTCGCTTAGGGCAGCTGGATCGAAGATGGCCCTTTTCCCCACAGCCATAGCACCTAGGGCTGTATCCTTTGTTGCGGTCGCGAACTGTAGCTGCTGCAACCTCCCTGACGCGATGGGAACGATGATCCTGCCGCACGGCTTCTACCTCCAGTGCATGGGCCAAGGCGTGCTTAAGCATCTCGTGGTGCCCGAGCCTCACAGCAGCTCTGACTTCCAGGTCGCGGATGCCGTCGATGAATGTCTGCACCAGGTTCCCTTCAATGAGCGCAGGTACAGACTGGTATGCTTTTCGAACCATCTTCTCCACCTCAAGGGCCCACTGCTGCAGGTTTTCATTGCTGCGTTGCACACGACCTTTAAGCTGCGCGCGAAAGACGTGTTCCAGTTGAGCGTCACCATATCTCGCCTCCAATGCCTCAAGGAGCTGCTCGTAGGTCACTTTCTTACCGAGAGCTTCCAACACGGTTAAGGCTTGGTCGCGCAGGCCTAAGGTGAGTGCAGTCATGGCCTGGCTTTTATTCCAGCCGTTTGCCTCCATGACGGCCTCGAACTGGATTTTATAGGCCGACCAGGAAGAAGTCCCATCGAACGGCGGCACTTTGAATCCACGTAGCGAAGGTGCTGTAGCTACTACGGGAGCTGTAGTTCCATCCCCAAGTTTGAGGTCGTTCAGCGTTTTCTTCACGTCAGCCATCACGTTGTCAACCCGATTGTTCACATGGTTGATTCGGGTTTCATGTTCTTCGATTCGGGTTTCAGCTTCCAACAGGCGGTTGTCATGTTGAGCAACCCTATCCTTCACCTCCCTTATCTCTTTCGCAAAGGTATCGTGAAGGTCCTTCATGAGGAGCATCTGTTCCTCCTGTCGGCGGGCCTGTTCCTCTTGTCCGCTCTGCAGCTGCTCTTTCAACTGACGGGCCTGCTCCTCCTGTCGGCGAGCCTGCTCCTCCTGTCGGCGAGCCTGCTCCTCCTGTCGGCGAGCCTGCTCCAGCAGCATCACCATCAGAGCACCTAGGTCAGGTGCTGCAGATGTAGGAGCTACCGACGGGCCTGCAGCCGGTGGCTGGCCCTCCGACGTCTGCGGCGTTGCACCACCAAATCTTCGTTGGTCCGTCTCCTGCTGGTGTTGACTTCGGGTACGGACACCCTCCGTTTCCTCCTTAGGTAAAATCGGCATGATTTTATCCCACTTCTGACACCAATTGTTACGAGCTTGAGGTTCGTGACAATAAAAATTGCCGATAAAATTACCTAAATTAACACTTTAATTTACTTTACACAAATTAAAACTTAAAACACTAATAATTAAACACACTAATTCACTTTATTCCGCTCCGAAGCTTCGCTTGTCTCGCCAAATCCAATACTGCCTCGATCGCATCTTGCAGCGCCTATTTATATAAATTAGCAAAGAAATATCCAGAATGTTCAAGTAAACACGCGCAAGGTACCGAGAGTTCGAGTTTTAAACTTCAAGAAGTTTAGTTCTTCGGTTCGAGACTAGATGGCGCTAGTGCCGTCGACTTGAGCGCGTAACAGTATTTACTCGGCTTTAGATTGATTTAATGAACGATTTTGTTGTGACCTCGGGTTTGTTTTTGCTTTGTGATTTGGACAATAAATATTTTATATGTACTGCACTGCGACTAGTAGCAAGGTACACTGCAATATCAACTATAACAGTTCACAGAGTTTTGAAGAGAGGACAACTCCATCCATACCATTTTCAACGTGTCCAGAGTCAATTACCACGAGACTATTTACTAAGAGTGGCGTTTTATCAAATAATGTTAAGAAAAATAAGAAAAGATCCAGAATTTTTCAACATGATTCTGTGGAGCGACAAATCGACTTGTAAGAGAGATGGCTAGTTAAATATGCCCAACTTGCACAGCTGGCAACTCACTAATCCAATCAACTCAAAAATCCACTTGTAAGAAATTTCAATCTAATAAACGTTCTTTAAATGTCTTCATTTTTTGTTTTAGTAAATTCCTTTGTTATTATAGCATTAATTTTGTTTGCGGAATTCCAACTCCCAGCTGAATTTTAATTTTACTTATAATTTTAAAAAATGACCCTTGCAAAACTTAACAGCAATATTATTTGCATTGAAAGCAATAAATACCGAGTGCTATACAATTTCTGAATCTCGATGAAGTAGACAAGTTATAAATTAGTTGTTCACTCAAGTGACCAGACATTTTTTTACACTACAAGAGGTCAAACTTTTGAGAAAATTTTGCAAAACGTCTTTTTTTAATATTTTTCGAATACAAACTGTAGATGTGGTACCAAAATGACAACCAGTAATCGATAGTATAGCTATCAAAGAATCCTACAGAAAAAAACAGGTCGCGAAAATTCTTTCCTTTGTGGTCTTGGTACCGAAGACTGAACAAGAATAAAAAATTTAAAACATTTCGTAAATATCCCATAACACGAAAACTGTGAAAACCGTTTTTATTTCCTGAAGTTATATCATACACTATTTACGTCACACTCTGTATTGCTATTAGCATAAAGACCTGTGCATTATCTATTGTATGGTTTTCTATAAAGTATAAAAATAAAGAGTAATAAATTTATTTGTTTTTCAATAATTAAACTTCAAGCATTTACTTAAAATTATTAATGCAGGTAGTTACATCATAAGAGTTTTTGCGGCTGCTTGCGCATTCCGGGGAGACGGAGTTGCCGTTCAGCACTTGGGTACCCTCGTATTTGGTCACGAGTCGCCACTTAACTACTCCCCTGTTCTTCACCATAGATACGGATAATTGTATATTTATAAAGAACTAGACTAAAATGTGAGCATTTCAGAGCATTATTTGTTGGACAGATGCAAAAGGCTTAAAATTAGAATACTGACTTACAACCGTGGGTAAGTATTAGCCTTATTAAGCACATCTCTTGTGTGATATTTTTAAAGAAATAAACAATTTTTAATTTAATTAATTTAATCTCTCTAGACCTATCTATCTCCAGTTTCGTCTCCAAATTTTACGTCAATATTTTTAGTATCGACACTGTCTAGCCTACTAAGCTTGGACCTTCCTCTTTTTCCATGGTCATCAATAGTCATCAACAAGTTACGTTCAAATTTACTGGAAACGAGGCTTTTTACTGGAAACGAGGCATTCCATCTCAGTCCTCACGGATGACAACGCATCTGCATTTTGATTTTTAATGGAGGATAGATGTAGATGTCTATGGGCCGCAGCAACCACTTACCATCAGGTGGACTGTGTGCTCGTTTGTCACCCTATTCTATAAAAAAAAAAAATATTGTTTAGCCAGTTTCTATGCTTTACGATGGGATGATTATTTTACTTTTATGGTGATGATTATGAGAACATCATAGTTATCATTTTACACTTAAATGAAATTTTGAAAAAAAAAGACTAAAAGCTTAATGGCCATTTGGAAAGCATTTATGTCAGACTTACTTTTATCATCCGAAGAACAAGATACTGCAAATAATCCTATATGCAATAGTCTCTCATTATGCAAATCAAACTCCTTGACAAAAGTACAACATGTTTCTGTTGTTATATCATCACTCTTTGCACACTCACATATTCCCTTATTACTACCAACATAATGTTCTTTTAAAACATCTACTGGTGAAACACTGTAGCTAAAACAATGTATTAGTAGTGCTAATAAAGCTGTGTTTGTATTAGTCTCCAAGACATAGAGTACATCCTTCAAAACATCTATCAGCACATTGATGTTTGAAGGTCTGATTGGTAATTTCAGTGGCACTATTTTATCTTCAAATACTGTGTTGATATCACCCTCAATGATTTCACTTAAAAGAGCTTTTGTTTCTCTGAGCACCTGTTAAAACGAAATTATTTTATTAATAACCTATCCAAGTACAGAGAAGTGTAAGACAGGGTGACGTAACATCCCCGCAGGAGTATAGGGCATCTTCCCACTAGATGGAATGACGATCTGGTAAGATATGCAGTAAGTTGATGGATGCAGGTGGCTCAATACCATACTTTGTGGCATCCTTTGTGGGAGGCCTTTGTTCAGCAGTGGGCTTGTGAAGGGCTGTAATGATGACGAAAAACTGCCTGGACTGTTCATAGCCGGAAAACAAACAAGAAAACATAATTCATATCTCAGTGTCTAACAGAATTAAAAAACATAGGCTAATTTTTATATTTGTAAAGAGTATCTCTATTACGCTCTCTATTATCTCTATTGCGCTCTGCTGTGAATAATAGAATTCATTCATTCAATTAAAAGTTTACATAGGCTTCATATTTGGTTTGCTTTATAGGGGGAACATTTGTCATAGTTGTCACGCTTGACAGACAGCTCGTAAACCGAAGTTCTTAAATATTCTGAGCTTTTATCAGGAAGATCCTGCTGCCCATCTCCCGTTTCGTTGCTCTTACGACACCCACGGGGCTATATGGAGTAGGTAGTGAATTCTCTTACGCCGGCAATACTCTGCGATCTATATATATTGTTCTAGCTTTACATATACAACTAAAATTTAATAGTATTTTATAGAGGCAACGCTAGTATATAACAATCGCTTCAGACATGTATGTATTTTATTTAGAAAGAGGAGGCGTGAACGTATTCAAATCGAAGTGGAGGTTGTCGCAAGCTAGTCCAATTTATATACTCGTTATGAGATAAGTCCATTTATGAATGAGATGTAAAAAAAAATATCTTGCAGTGTAGTTGACATTATTACACCCATTTTCAGTGTTTTAAATGAACCCTAAAGTTATAATAAACCACTATAATTTTTATATTTTTTAAACCGAATAGTGCCATAAAAATTACTTTTAATCTATTTTTTAAATTTTCGCGGGGAAACTATACTATTCTTCTGTGAAGACCCTTTTTATGTAAATATAACTTATACTTAACTATCGTTTATACAGAACAAAACATCATGAGGTGAAGGGTATCGCACGTCAAATTTCGTAATCATCATCATTCTAATGATTCTAATTATACATAGGTCACTCAATAAATTTTGAGATGCTCGAAATTTAAAAATGGAACACACCCGTGTTATATATTCCTAAAAATAAATTTATTTAAAAATAGAACTCCATAAGCCAATTGCTCAATATTAAAAAAAAAAAAAACAAAGTTCTATTAATTTTCTGCAACGCTTCCCGCGCTTTTCATTTAAAACGATGAATATTAACCGTGAACATTTGCGCGCTATGATTTATTATAATTTTAAATTTGGTTTAACCGAACAATTAAGTTTACACCGGTTACGATCAGCATTAGCGGACTCAGCTCCATCACACGCAACAATTTTTAGGTGGTTTGCTGAATTCAAAAGGGGTAAAATTAACCTTAAAGATGACCAAAGAACCGGGGCCCGCAAACAGCAGTAACGGCAGCAAATGTATGGACTACTGAAATGTTGGTGCGAAAAGACCCACGAATCACATATACGGACATCTAAAATATTGTAGGCATTAAGTTCGGGGAACATTCATACCATCCTACATCAATTCAATGTCGTGGTTATAATTCATAATAGAACATTTTGCCACAGGTTAGAAAGGGAGCGATCATCTTCTCGAAAACCCGGTAAAAAGTCAACGTGTGCGAGAGAGGCGATTAATCGCTTAACTCAACTCTTTTCTTATGACAGCAGTATAGCGCAGTTTTGCCGCGACCGGGGTGCATCGATAATATTGCTTTGCTTTTATTAATTTTGGCAGTCCATTGCGGGTTTGCTTTGAGAAAGAGAGAACACAAATCAGTGTATTTCAAATTGAAAGCAATCTGCCAAGTGTTGACGTTACATAATAAGACTACGAGGTCATGACCTGTGTAGAACAGAGGAGCGCGCGGGAAATTTGAAATAGTTTGAAACAGTTTAGGAGTTATTTTATTAGTTGATATTATTGATTGAACAGTTTGATGAATGAGTTTAATTATTTTTAATCTTTTTCTTTTATTAACCAAGTATTTTACTAATAACCAATATGTATATGGAAATTCCTGGCAAGCTGTGAAAAATAGTGCCGAAAAAGGAATGGCCCAAATACCTACTTGGTTAAAATGCACAACACACATAAAACTAACTACATCTCGCTAAACACAAATAAAACTAACTACATATTTTTCAGTATCTACAATAAAAATCAACCTGCTGATAGATTTAGTATAAGGGTTCATGATTGTATATAGTAACACCCAGGATGCAAACTGCAACTGCCCGATCATTAATAAAGTTACCCATACTAAGTACCTGGGCATCATATTAGATCAGAGACTGTCCTGGTACCCACAGCTTGAGCATATTGCCGGAAGAGTCAGAAAGTTGGTTTGGGTCTTTCGATCGTTAAGGCATGTGGTTCCAGGTAATAATAAAAAAAATTATGACCGAGAAACATCCAGAACAATTTTGAATGACATATAATATATCGCCTTGGTTCAATCTGTCTTGGAATGTTGCATTCCTGTTTGGGGAGGTGCGGCAAAAACCAAGTTTATAGATGTTGAGAGAGCACAACGTGCGCTTATTAAAGTTATGTACTTTAAAAATAGTAGATACCCCACGGAAAAGCTTTATCTCGATAGTGGGTTACTTTCGGTAAACACAAAAATATACCCTACAATGCAAGTAAAAAAGGAAAAGGAAGAAAAAATAATGTAGCTACAGTACCCCAAACTAAAACTAAGTTTGTTGATGATGATGGAATTGATGGATAGAGATAATGCAGATGACGACGTGCAATGTGAAGTTTCGTCATCTCTCTGAGGCAGGCTGCCCTTAGTATGTTTTTTTTGTTTTAGATCTAGTAATCATATTATTCCCACGTGAAGCTAGTGACTTACAAAGTCGACCGCAGCAGAGCCCTGCGTTCACTGCGGCAAGGGTAAATAAAACTGGAGATCCCCTGTTATCCAGAGTTGGCATACTATCGACTACACTCTCCCGTAGCCATGCAGCCTTCGGCATATGCGACCTTGGCTTGGATTGTATCTCTTTTAGTCTGGCTCCTTGCCCTAGATCTATCTCGGCATGAGTAAACTCTACCGGCATAAACCTAGAGTTCATTGGAGCACACAAGCCCCACCACGTCGTCAACGTAGAGATACAACGGTGGGGTTATTATTATTATTATTATATGCTCATCTTGCATTAGTAGCCAGTAAGTGGTACTGGGAGGTCTACTTACACTGAATGTTTTAAGGACATTAACATTATACGTGAAAAAACCACCACATACCAACGGTTTTGCGTGCTTTCCGAAGCACGGGCGTGTGACATCGCCAACGTCCTGACTCCGGGCAGCTACTAAGTATTTCTTACTAAGTATTTCTTGACGGAAAAACTCAATAAATTGAAATTTTGTCCCGACCCGGGATTCGAACCAAGACCTTATGATCAGCTGTCACACTACTATAACCACTAGATCAACGAGGCAGTCAAGATCAAAAATAAATATCAAAAGTGCCTAAAAACTTATAAGAGAAAAATAATTTTTCGTAACCTAAGGCTCACATCAGCCGATTCTAAAACTGCAACGATGTGTCGACAGCTGAACTCGGCCGCCTGGCGCCTACATAACGAAAAATGTGCATGCGTCTCGTTCACTCTTACAACCTTTTTATTTCACTAGCGATCGTAGATTATTTTTAGTTTTACGCAAACGCCGTAGGGTAATTGTTTTTATGTATTTCGATATTCGGAATTTTTGCCTATCTAATTATATTTTGTTATATTTTACACTTTCGAGGATGGCTTCTACTCCACTTACACAAAATATCATACTATATTTAGACAGTAAAAATTGTCACCCAGTACAAAAAATAGGATTTTTTTCGAACGCTGGAATGGAAGATTATTGCATGCATTTCAATAAAATGTACTCACCACTTGACACCTTGCTTTAATAATGGGCTGATCTGCAGGCAGACAATGCCTGCATAATGTCATGGCTGACAATAATAGCTCATCCATAGATGTGTGTAAACTACTAACACAATCAACCATCTGTAAACATTAAAAAATACAAATTAATGTAACCTAAAAAAAATAAGAAAACTGATCAAAATACGAAGTGTGCTAACGAAAAACCAGATCTAAATGAGGTGTGAAGAAAATACAAAAATATGTATTAAGTATTTAATACAAAATTACTCAAGACCATACTTTAAAGTAATAAAAAATGTGTGTCATGTCAGATTAATAAAAATCTAACCTTTACCTGGGTGAGATCTATTAATGTGGCGTCATTTAGATATAAGATCAACAATCATTTATTTTATTAGTTTTTCGATTATATTTTCGGAAAAAATATTGCCTAGGCCACTTCTGGAATTGCCCTCTATCTGTTTGTGAAGTTTCATCGCAATCCGTACAGCCATTCTTAAGATGAAGCACAGACAGACAGATGGACAAAATTTTTAAAAATCCTTTATAGCACACAAAAAATCCCAGTTATTTCAATATCACAGAGAGGCACTTCAATATGATTTTTACATGTCGGGAATGAAAAAAGTTTATACATGATATGTCACTTTAACAGTATATAAAATAAACATTTTTTAATTGTTTAACATTAGACAGAGGTTTAAAAAAACTACTGACCATCCTGACTAGGAGTTCAGAGGCTAAGCTCTCGCCATAAATTTCCCAAGCAGTTCCCTAGCATCCTGAATTCGATGCCCACTGATACCAATATCTACTTTTTTCAACTTTAAATGCTGATTTACCACATGCGAGGGTGAGGATGCAAAAACATCATTAGCAAATCTGCATGTCTGAGAAATAGAATATTGTACAATAAAACACTAGAGAAGCACAGCAGATCAATTTCTTTACAGCCCTCTCAGAAGTTCTCATTTCTGGAGCCCTGCGCCCACCTATGAGTTTCTAAAAATGCTTGTTTTATTTAAAAAAATATATGTTCTTACATCATCTTTCCAATAATCATTAAGCTCCTGGGAACCTTTACATCTATCATCAGAAGCTAAAGCCACTAGTGATTCAAGAACATCAAATGTCTGATCAATCCAGTTAACAAAATACTTAGGTGATTCAAACATTAAGTCATCAAGACAGCTTTCATACATTTCTTTATTATTCATTGCTTCCAATTTTTGCTCTATTGATACCAATCTGCTGCAGCACCATGATATTCTTTCTAAAGTACATTGCCTACTTTCCTGTAACATAAAAATCATAAAAAAATTTAAACTACATCTCATTCACACATCAAAATTTTTCTTAAATTGATTTAGGAGCAATTATTATTGATTATGCTAAAATGTTCAGATGTTAGCATAATAAAAGTTACATAAAGAAACATTATGTAGTTTTCTGTATTTATAGTATAAGTGTATAAGTTTTTATATCCCTTTTTCAACAATTACTTTCCTTGCCTATGAGCTAGCAGCATAGGAATATAATGAATACAAGGAAAGTTATTTTTGAAAAACAAATAAGTAAAAAAATGTATACAAAAATTTAGGACTAATCGCTTATACAAATTCTTAAGAATAGTTTAATTTAGTAAAAAAAAAATTTAAATAAAGACTTCTTTTATTAATTAAGATGTGCTATGTTAACTCAAATCTTTTCAGTTCTGAATTCATGGGCCTGAGAATTATATTAATAATTATAATTATTTTATTCATTTCTTCTTCTTCTTTTATTCATTAAAATGTGGTATGTTAAATCTTTTCATTTCTGAATTCATTTGCTTCAAAATTATAAAAAGAAGTATGTTCAACTCCCTATTTACCTTGCTACAACTAACACAATGTCATTGTGATTATCACTTGAAGAATCCATTTTCCATTATATTTCAGTTAGTTGACGTTTTTTGTGGGGTCCATGACTTAGCAAAGAGTTGCAGGACTAAGGGCCGCAGGTTCGAATTCCACATGGAACAAGTATTTGTATGGCCTACAAATATTTGTTCCAGGTCATTACATACATAAATTTCATAAGGAATAACATCCTTGTCCTGGTGTATTTTTTTTATAGGATAGGGTGACAAGTGATCACATAGTCCACCTGATGGTAAGTGGTTGCTGCGGCCCATAGACATCTACATCTATCCTTGATTACAAATTAAAATGCAGATGTGATGTCACCCGTGAGGACTAAGATGGAATGCCTCGTTTCCAGTAAAAAGGGTCTCCGGTTCTCTACACTCACCATATGAAACACAGCAGCATTAAGCTACTATTTCACGTTGGTGTTCTGTGAGACCGTGGTCCTTCCCCAGTCAAGCCAACCCATTTGTGCTACAATTATACTACTAATATAGCAGCATGGCTCTAACACTCTGAAAATGTATGTAAATTTTCCCCATAATACAGGATAAATCCTAGTGTAGAAATAACATTTTATTAAGAAGAAAATACACTTTTGTGCAGATTAAGGAATATCACAATATACTAGAGGGGGTTAAATAGTTCGCAGAATGAAGGGATTAGTGAGGGGAGGGGGATGTTTTTTTAACTGTCACTACTTGGTGACTCAATACAACTATAAATACCAAGTTTCAGCCAGTTTGGTTCATAAACCTTTGAAAGTAAAAAGGGTTTCCAGTTCTCAACACTCACCATATGAAACACAGCAGCATTAAGCTACTATTTCATGCTGGTGTTCTGTGAGAGTGTGGTCCTTCCCCGGTTGAGCCGACCCATTTGTGCTATGATTATACTACTAACATAGCAGCATGGCTCTACCACTCTGAAAATGTATGTAAACTTTCCCCACAATACAGGATAAATCCTAGTGTTGAAATAACATTTTTTTAAAGAAGAAAATACACTTTTGTGCAGATTAAGGAATATCACAATCTACTAGAGGGGGTCAAATAGTTCGCAGAATGAAGGGATTAATGAGGGGAGGGGGATGTTTTTTTAACTGTCACTACTTGGTGACTCAATACAACTATAAATGCCAAGTTTCAGCCAGTTTGGTTCATAAACCTTTGAGATATCACAGGATAACCAAGTCAATCGGGAAGTGAAGAATAATGATACAGAAAATTGAGTTTCATGCTGTAATTAATGTTCTTCACTAAGCAATGAAAAATACCACATAATCATTATGGAAGAAATGTCATCTGCGTACAGAAACTCTCGGCAGCAAACAACCAAACAAGTTGCGTAGCATTTTTAAGCAAGGCAGACTCAATTGAGGACAATCAGAGCTCAGCCTGACTGATTGAAGCAATTTCCACAGATATTGTCAAAAAGTTAAAAAACTTGCTTTATATGATGCTAGTCTAATGAAAAAACAGATTGCATTGAGTATCATCCACAAGAGTTTTAAACATTCTCCATTTCTATGTTCAGTGTAAAATGGGTGCCATCAATGCTTCACGCCGCTTAAACAACAGCAGCGAGTCGGTTGTTCAAGCCAGTTTTTGGAACTGGGTACTATCAACCTGAGCCAAAGCGGGAGTTCATCCAGTGGAATATAAAAGGCTCGGCTAAGCTTTCCATTGACGTCCGTCGAGTTGGGGGTTGATATTTTTTTACAGAAAGGTTACATTAATATAAGCACAGACTCAAAATTTCAACATGCGGAAACGCGTACTTTTTGAGGAAAAAAATTATTGAAAATCAATTATTTTTATAATATTTACGTCAATTCTTACCACAGATTACGAGTACATCGAATTCTCGCCATTGAACGTTCGTTTTCCGTATGGTTAAGTTGTCATACGTTCGGTAGCATTTTATTGTACATTTTACGTAAATAATTATATTTTGTACTCATTTAAATAGTTTTCATTCATACACATATATTTAACAGTTTATATTTAAATTACAGAATTATTATCATTATGAGCAATTAAAAGTGTAGCGTTTTTTGCCGGCTTGTGGGATGTAATGTAAAACTGACGATTTCTAAGAATTAATTAAAGCAATATGTGTATAAAATTGTATAAAACATGTGTATAAAACAGTACCCTCCTATTAGGACAGATAATAAATAAAATAGGTTAGGTTCAACTTATGTCAAGGAACCTAATTAATACACACCGACTTCACATAGTACAAGTCTGTCCTACTCCTAGAGTGTTTTTATAAAGCCGGAGGCGCGTAGGGAGAGCAGCCTCCGCCTGCTGTAACAAAGCGTAGGCGAGCGGCTGAGGCTGGTCGCCGAAGGCGACCAACAAGCCGAAGCTGCGGGGGCGAGGCTGGATGCTTGTGATTTGTTACGCAAAGGCTGCTCTTTCCGCAGCGCTGGAGACGTTGCAGTCTCAAAATAGATACAGAAATCCCTCTGAATGAGTCCCTCTATTTATTTTTGGTGAAGGGGGTTACCCCTTCCTTAGGGGTACCGCAACTTTTCCTTTTAAGGGAGAGTAGTACACCTCCCCCCACCCCCCTCCCGCTTCCAATTCGACGGACGTCAATGGAAAGTCATACCAAATGCTCAGCACATCCTAAGAAGTTCAAGGTGTTACAACCGGCTGAATAGATTATGTGACTTGTAATATTTCTAAGTCAATTAAACATTAGAAAATTTTGGCATCTGGCTTTGCCCTTCAGTTGGAGACTGAACCTGTTAAATTTGGCAAGTAGCCTCATATTGCTTCATTTACAAATACGCTGTACAGTGAATGCTAGTATAATTAGGGACTTTAAAACATTCCATTTTAGACAACAAATGTTAAAACACACCTCTGTATATTGAATGCTTCTTGATATAAAATAGCCACCTGCCATTAGAAAGTTGTAAGCTCATTCAGCATTTGTTTTTGTTCATTTGTTATAAGAAAAACGGCTAAAGTAAAATGTGTTTACATACCTGTAATAAAATATGCATGTGATGCTCTATTTTTAAGACATCAATCATTGTTAAATAAGATTTATTAATTTGACTAACACACAGTATAAACAAATTGTGTATATTCATTGCATTATCTCGAAGATTATTACCGTCCTTTAGTAATGATTGTATATTATCTCCAATCTTTTGCAAATATGGATACAGTTTAGTTAAAAATATTTCCTGAAATTTAGAATAACAAAAATAACTGTCTTTTTATTTAAAACCTTATCTACTATGAAAGTTGTTAAACATACCTACCAAAAGTGACTTAGTAGCAGCTATAGCATCATTCGGTAATTCAAAATTTAAATTTATAGCGTGATTTTCCATGATTTTAAAGGGCAAATTTATTATTTGTTAATTAGGTAAATCAAATTCAAAATTCAAACTACACAACCACGGAGGTTAGAGTTTTTTTATTAACTGGCTTTACGGCTCTGGGTTTTAGCCCTTCTGAGCCTATCATTTCTTTTTTATATATTTTTTCTTCACAATATGCTGATGCCTCACAAGTTTTTAAGAGATTTTGATGACAGCTCAACCCCACAGACGGTTGATGACAACAGCTATTCAAGTTCATAAGGCGCCAAAGCGATCACATTAACTTGAGGTTTATATCAACATCAAAGCACTTGTTTCGTCGTTTTCTCTAACAGTTCACACGCACAGACACTTAATTCACAAAAACGTATCACTTTTACGAATTAAAATCCACTTCAAACCATTATTCAGGCGACAAAACAGGAGCGACAATCCGTCAACGGCCAAGTTCCCGCCAGTTCCCGCCAAAACTCGAAGGTTAGAAAGAAGCAGAGAAGGAGAACGATCGATCGCTGTAGAAAATAGTGTCCCAGAAATATGGACAAAATTAGTGAGGCACTGCGATCGCTAAATTGTCTCAATTAAAACGGGCTGTTGTGCACTAGTTTGAAATGATCTATCAACGTTTAATATACGTGTAGCTATACAATATGTAACGTAATTAACGTACTTTGAGAAAGTAGTTTGTTCAGAATCGTTTACTGAATCAATTCCTATCATTTTTAACATAAGTAATTTTTTATCCCAAAAATAATTAAAACTTCGTAAATTACAGTCACACTAAATCTGTACAGTCAAAACAAACTGAAATGGACCGTAACTTAAGGCAATAAGACTTTTAAGAGTGCAGTTTTATTTGTATTATTACTAATTCTGTCATTCAATAAAAATAAATAAAAATGAACTTTATTTCAACCACTTTAAAGTCATTGCGTTCGTGGATTTGTACTGTGACCACAACATTCTTCAGGAATTAGTATAACTAATTTTATAAATAATTGGTGCCTAAAATGTTTAACTATAATTCAGTGTATGTATTATGATTATAACATAATATACTAATTGGGGTGTCTGAGGGTGTGCGTTAATTACGTTACATATTGTATAATATCATTCAAGAAAAAAAACAAAATAACGAAATTATTATTGTTTATTATTATTATTTGCTTATTAATAAATAAATTATAAATTATGTTTTTTATAATTTTAATTATTATAAATTTTGAGAATTTACCGTTCGGGTATTGGACGTATATTTAATAATAATTAAAATTTTATATAAAAATAGTTTAATAGAGAAGTTAAAAATATAAGATTATTAAAATATGTTAAAAATCTTAAATGTTAATGTTATGTTTATCAGTTCGCGTCCGTCGCGGTTACGGTGATTACGTGAACTAACTTAATTTTTATAATTGTCGAACTATAGCGATTGCTTTACGTAAAATGTTAACGCCAGCAGAAATGTACGGTTGGACAGTACATGCTGCCGGGCCAAAATGTAAAAAGATGATTATAATGTTAGTTTGATGTGTTAAGTGACCTTATCTAAGTAACAAGGTGATAAACAATTTAGAACTTAACCTAATGAATGATTGTTATTTTGTTAGGCAAAAATGATGACAGTATCTAATTTATGATATAACAATTAATTTTATAATTAAATATTAAAAAGTCTATGCGGTATGGGAGAACACGCTTTGTTTTGTTGTTCAACTTCACACGACACATCACTATGGCCCATATTTTGATGGTCAACATCACAATTTCGCGCACTAGCACTCACTGTGAAAACACTAGGCTAACGGTTAGCCTTTCTTTGATTTCCCGCACTCACTGCACTGACACTACTCGTCGACTGCAGCTCCGGCCGGGAGTCTGGAGAGATGAGCGCACGCCACCGTCGTCGCTGCCATCGCTATCGCCACACGAACACCACCGCTACGACTTCTGCCACTCCGATTAACACGTAGTTGATTGCGTAGTGATGGATGTCGTGCGATGACAATGTGGTTAACTGCACGTTATTCTGTTTCAGTTCTTGTATTTGACGGTCTAAGTTTCGTAGGAGCTGTTCAAATCAGATATGTTGGTGTCATTTTCGTTTAGAGGTTCTGAAGTTATGCTTATTTTGATGATGTTATTCAATGGGTCAACTTTTGTAAGAAATAAGTCCTTCTTCATCTCAATTTGATGGGTGTGAATTTGACGGGATAACAAGTAACAACGTTAAATCTTGCGCAATTGACATGTTTTTTTTATTTCCGCTTGCAAGTTGTTGGTCTGTTTGTCCAGGTTTATTAAATGTTTGTTAATAGTTTTTTGTTGTTTGTCTACCAAATCTTCGGTACGTTTTAATCAATTATATTCTGACTCCAATACAGACGTCTGATCCTTGCATAAATTCAATAAATGATTTTGGTTTTGTCTAACAGGTTCAATATCCTTATTATACTGTTCCGCGAAACGTTCGGTCAATACGCCGAACAAACTATTTGCTAAGTAGCCTATTCCATTCACAAGTCCCCGTCGAAGTCTGGAGCGTCCGATGAAATGCTGATTCAATAGCAGGCCATTGTAATACTGCAGTTCCAGAACTCGTGCTGTAGTTGTAACAATATCATATGGCATAAGTGATCTGCGTTTATGTTCATACATCTTTTGTTTAAATGTTTTAAAAATATTTCAAATGCTTTGATTCCTTCCCAATAGAGGTCTAAGTTGTAATACGCAATTTTTTTCCTTCTTTTAAAAAACGTTACCCCTACACTAAGATTTTCTCTTGTATCGTAGGGGCAGTTTACAAACATAAATTGCACAAGGACAATCATCCAGACCTGGAACAACTATTTGTAGGCCATACAAATACTTGTTCCGTGCGGGATTCAAACCCGCGACCCCCAGCGCAGCCACTCATTGCTAAGCCACTGCGCCACGGAGTCGTCATTTAGTGTCCATTTATCCTGGATTATCCGTATTTTACCCACTGGATCGAAGTAAATAGACTGGTTATTGTTAAAAGTTGTAATATTGTAAGAGCTTGTACTAAATGCAGGTGTAATTAAACATATAAAAAACATTAAATTAAGCTCATAACGATAGAACTAAATCTAGATGGTGTGCCTTGTAATTTATTTTCTTTCTTATGGTTTCTCTTTTGTATTAAGTTACTAGACCTTTCTTTTTCTTCATTTTGTTGTGGTAATATTTCTACAGGTAATAATGACAATTTACTGATCGGTCTTTTAAGGTTACCGTTTTTGGTTTTCAATGTTACAACTCTTACATGTCCATCGCTACTGGGGTGAAGTTCCACTACGCGCCCCATCGCCCATTTTCCTGGTGGTAAGTTGTCGTCTTGTATGATGACCATATTATGACCAATTTTCATGTTTGGTTGCGGTCGAAGCCACTTACTCCTACTAGATAATTGAGTAAGGTATTCAGCTTTCCATCTTTTCCACACCCCTTGAAATAGTTTTGTTAGTTGCCATCTTGTCCTGGCATCTTCGGGCGTTTCTATTATGGTGAAACCTACATTTGTAGTTAAAAAATGTGCAGAGATCAAGAACTCCAAATCTTTCACGTTTTCAGTTAACAGACACAGGGGTCTTGAGTTTAAGCATGCTTCTATATGGCTCAATATTGTCGAGTATTCTTCGAATGTTAGCTTTTGATCACCAACCACACGCTTCAGGTGATAATTTAAACTACGCATAGCTTTCTCACTTAGACCTCCAGCGCTTGGCCACGAGGGAGCATTGAAATGCCATTCGATGTTCAACTCTGCAACCTCCACCAAGAAGTTGTTGTTAAATATTTGCTGAAGTTGTTGATATTCTTCCTGCGGGATTCTATTAGCACCCACAAAGTTTGAGCCATTATCACTGTAGATATGACGTGGAGCTCCTCTTCTCGATGCCATGCGACGAACGCTGCTAAAAATGCTGACGTGCTCAAATCTGACTCTAATTCCAAATGTATGGCTTTGGTAACCATACACACAAAAACTGCTACATATTTATTTCCTATTTTTTTCCTATTTAAGTTGTCTGTAAGAAATTGCTGCGTAGAAATAAGACCGCCTTTTGTTTTTCTCTTTGTTTGTTTCTTGTTATGTTGTATTTTTTAGTGTTCAATAAAAGGTATTGTATCCCTTGGGAGTTTTTATTCCTCGCCCTTTACTTGACTTTACTTCAATGAAATCAGTATAATAAACGCCTGTGTGATAAAAAGGTGGTGCTGGATTAACTCTTGACAATGGTAAATCAGCCATTAATTGATGTTGTGTAGAGCGATTATTTTTTCTGCATTTTACGCAGTATCTTAAACACAATTTAACGGCTCTGTTGCCCCCTACAATCCAACATTTTTGAGGTATCGATCCCAAAGTAAACCGAGGACCACCGTGAAATGTCATGTTATGGGCATGATCTATTAGAAGATCCATCAATCTACTTTTATGGGGTATTATTATTATTATAGGTATTATTATTATATCCATATCGTGGTGGATGTTAGCATTTTTTAATCATCCAACCCTAAGTATTTTTTCACTTAAAACCGGATTCAAACTCCGTAATTTGCTACTCATATGCACTGTGTTGTGCTTATTTAAATATTCTATGTCCACCTGAAAATCGTTTTCCTGAACATGTTTAATAATAACTAATTTTGCGTGCTTCAGTTCCCTCAACGTAAGGTAGCTCGGCCATCTGCTTAGGTGTTAAAAAACGTAATATCCATGCTACAATGCAAGATATTTTTGTAAATAAACTAAATTTATTTGATAATAAATATATAATATTGTTATGACTGTTTTTTTGTATAACGTTTGCTTGTTTTAATCGAATTTCTTCGTTTGTTTGATATATATGTTTTTCATCAAGTCGGTATGAAAATGTTTGTAGCCATGATGGTCCGTGCCACCATAATTGGTTGTTTTTAAGTTGTGATACGTATAGCCCCCTACTTGCAGCATCCGTGGAGTTTTCTTTAGGTTTAACGTA